GGTAAAGTTAATTGAAAAAAAGGAAACAGGATAAAAAATAAAATTCTTCGAATTTACGGTTCTACTTCTTAGGTCCTTCTTAAGTACTCCGGAACGCGTAGGGAGAAACTTTACCAGTCATGTTCTTCCACGTTCTTCATGACTTTCTTTTAAGACGAATTAATAGAATGAGAAATTGTGCAAAGTTGAGAACAGTCCGCTACGAAAGTATTCGAGCTTTTCGAGGAGGAGCCAGAGAAGGAGGAGGTGGAGGCGATTGAAAAAAGGGTGCATCGTCATGTAACGTAGGCGCACGACTGTAAACCGACACTTTGATAGTCGGTTCTCGTTCCTAAAGCTGGCGAGGCGTGTGCCGCCCACCGAGGACGAAAAGGGACATCCTTCGAAGAAATTCAACGGCAGAGTTTCTCATGATGGTGCATTCTGTAGCCCTAAGAAGAGAATGCGGTCACTCGATATCGCCGCGATTTGTATTTCCTAGTGAATTTTCCTCACGGAAAAAAGTATACGACTGCTACGACGATTTCGCATCACATTAGAAAGAAAAAGAAAATCGTTATCCCTTTGAAATAGATCACGTCTTGACTGAGACTCACTGGTCTCCTTCATTCCTTACAGCTGCGAAGAGGCGCCACGAGGATGTCTTTGAACGTGCTGTCCTCTTGTCTTCCAGCCACTCCCATTTTCAGCTACCGAGTTACTGCCACTCTGTCAATCCGGTCTGATGCCTGCATCGAGACGCGGAAACGACCGTGACACTGAATGACTTCAAAACCAGTCTTCTTAAAAAGCGCGATTGGCGTTTTACATCGGGACATCATAAGTATAAAAAAGAAAACAAACGAAGCGTCTCGAACCAACATAAGAAAAGAAAAATATATTTTGGGGGTGACTCTCGCTGCGCACATGTTTCGTGCCAATTATATATATATATATATATATATATATATATATATATATATATATATATATATAATTGGCACGAAACATGTGCGCAGCGAGAGTCACCCCCAAAATATATTTTTCTTTTCTTATGTTGGTTCGAGACGCTTCGTTTGTTTTCTTTTTTATACTTATGATGTCCCGATGTAAAACGCCAATCGCGCTTTTTAAGAAGACTGGTTTTGAAGTCATTCAGTGTCACGGTCGTTTCCGCGTCTCGATGCAGGCATCAGACCGGATTGACAGAGTGGCAGTAACTCGGTAGCTGAAAATGGGAGTGGCTGGAAGACAAGAGGACAGCACGTTCAAAGACATCCTCGTGGCGCCTCTTCGCAGCTGTAAGGAATGAAGGAGACCAGTGAGTCTCAGTCAAGACGTGATCTATTTCAAAGGGATAACGATTTTCTTTTTCTTTCTAATGTGATGCGAAATCGTCGTAGCAGTCGTATACTTTTTTCCGTGAGGAAAATTCACTAGGAAATACAAATCGCGGCGATATCGAGTGACCGCATTCTCTTCTTAGGGCTACAGAATGCACCATCATGAGAAACTCTGCCGTTGAATTTCTTCGAAGGATGTCCCTTTTCGTCCTCGGTGGGCGGCACACGCCTCGCCAGCTTTAGGAACGAGAACCGACTATCAAAGTGTCGGTTTACAGTCGTGCGCCTACGTTACATGACGATGCACCCTTTTTTCAATCGCCTCCACCTCCTCCTTCTCTGGCTCCTCCTCGAAAAGCTCGAATACTTTCGTAGCGGACTGTTCTCAACTTTGCACAATTTCTCATTCTATTAATTCGTCTTAAAAGAAAGTCATGAAGAACGTGGAAGAACATGACTGGTAAAGTTTCTCCCTACGCGTTCCGGAGTACTTAAGAAGGACCTAAGAAGTAGAACCGTAAATTCGAAGAATTTTATTTTTTATCCTGTTTCCTTTTTTTCAATTAACTTTACCTCGTCGGATACGGAAAAGTATGAGAGCGAGAAAGAATGAGAGAAAGAGAGAGAGAGAGAGAGAGAGAGAGAGAGAGAGAGAGAGAGAGA